GATTTGCATAGCCAGGGGGTAAGGGGGGGGGGGGTGGCTCACCTAAAAGAGGCCCTGTATAATATGAGAGGAATAAATATCTTTAAATTAGTTGGAACTCTCATAGTCGATAAAGAGTAAATAAATGCGATTTGCATAGCCAGGGGGTGAAGGGGGGGGGGGGGGGGGTGGCTCACCTGAAAGAGGCCCTGTATAATATGAGAGGAATAAATATCTTTAAATTAGTTGGAACTCTCATAGTCGATAAAGAGTAAATAAATGCGATTTGCATAGCCAGGGGTGAAGGGGGGGGGGGGGGGCTAACCTAAAAGAGGCCCTGTATTATATTAAAAGAATACAAATCTTTAATTTTAGTTTGAACTCTCATAGTCGAGAAAGAGTAAGTAAAGGCGATTTGCATAGCCAACGGGTAAAGGGGGGGGGGGGCTCACCTAATAGATTCCCTGTTTTTTACGAACATCTTTAAATTAGTCTGAACTCTCATAGGCAAGAAAGAGTAAGTAACTGTGATTGGCGTAGCCAGGGGGTAAAGGGGGGTTAGGGGGCGGGAGGGCTTGCTCAATACAGACTCTGTATAAAATAGAGAAAACAAATATTTAATTTCAGTCAGAACTATAACAGTCGATAAAGAGTAAGTAAATGTGATTGGCGCAGGCAAGCGGGAATGGGGAGGGGGAGGGCTCACTTAAAACAGGCTCTATATTAAATAAAATAATACAAATCTTTAATTTTAGTTGGAACTCTCATAGTCGAGAAAGAGTTTTAAAAAATGTGATTTGCATAGCCAGGGGGTAAGGGGGGGGGGTGGCTCACCTAAAAGAGGCCCTGTATAATATGAGAGGAATAAATATCTTTAAATTAGTTGGAACTCTCATAGTCGATAAAGAGTAAATAAATGCGATTTGCATAGCCAGGGGGTGAAGGGGGGGGGGGGGGGGGGGGTGGCTCACCTAAAAGAGGCCCTGTATTATATAAAAGGAATAAATATCTTTAAATTTGTTGGAACTCTCATAGTCGAGAAAAAGTAAGTAAACGGCTTCCTTAATTCAGGTTCTGTATTACATGGGGAATGGGGGGGGGGGGGAGGAAGGGTTCCCCTAATACAGGTTCTGTATTAAATAAAGAGAATACAAATCTTTAATTTTAGTCGGTCGTATCATATTTGAGAAAGAGTAGGGAAATATGATTGGCGTAGCTCTGGGGAATGGGTGGGGAGGGGGGGGGGGGCGGGGGGCTTGCTTAATTCAGGTTCTGTATTACATGGGGAATGGGGGGGGGGGGGAGGAAGGGTTCCCCTAATATAGGCTGTGTATTAAATAAAGAGAATACATACATGTATCTTTTATTTTAGTTGGAACTCACATATTCGAGTAGGAGAGAGAAAAAGTGATTGGCGTAGCCAAGGGGTATGGGGAGCGGGAGAGCTCACTTAATACAGACTCTGTATTAAATAAAGAGAAAACAAAACTATAATTTTAGTCGGACGTATCATATTTGAGAACGAGTAGGGAAATGTGATTGGCGTAGCGACGGGGTGAAGGGGGATGGGGGGGGGGGGGGCTCACCTATGAAGGTCATGTATAAAATAAAGAGAAAACAAAGTAATTTCAGTCTGACTTTTTATGGTCGAGAAAGAGTTGGGAAATGTGATTGGCGTAGCCACGGGGAATGGGTGGGGGGGGGGGGGGGAGGGCTCGCTTAATTCAGCCTCTGTATTAAATAGGGTATGGGGGGGGGGGATGTTCCCCTAATACAGGCTCTGTATTAAATAAAGAGAATACAAATCTTTAATTTTAGTTGGAACTGTCATAGTCGAGCAAGTATAAATGGCTCACCTAATAGAGGCCCTGTATAATATGAAATGAATAAATATCTTTAAATTAGTCTGAACTCTCATAGGCGAGAAAGAGTAAGTAAATGTGATTTGCATAGCCAGGGGGTAAAGGGGAGGGGGGCTCACCTAATACAGGCTCTATATTAAATAAAGAGAAAACAAAACTATAATTTCAGTGAGACGTATCATAGTTGAGAAAGAGTAGGGAAACGTGTTTGTCATAACCCAAGGTTGAAGGGGGGGGGGGGGGGTTGCCTAATACAGGCTCTGTATAAAGTAAAGTAATTTCAGTCAGACGTATCATAGTTGAGAAAGAGTAGGGAAATATAATGGGCGTAGCCACGGGGCAAAGGAAGGGGGGATCTGGAGCTCACCTAATACAGGTCATGTATAATAAAGAGAAACAAATCTTTAATTTCAGTCGGAACTATCAATAGACTAGATAGAGTAAGCAAATATGATTAGCCACAGGGAAAAGGGGGAGGCTCGCATAATGGAGGCTCGCATAATGCAGGCTCTGTATTAGATAAAGGGAAAATAAGTAATTTCAGTCTGACTTTTTATAGTCGAGAAAGAGATGGGAAATATGCTGGGGCGTAGCCATGCGGAATGTGTGAGGGGCCAGGGGAGGGCTCGCTTAATATGGCCTCTGTATTAAATGAAGAGAAATCTTAGGTTACCCAACGCTAAATCTGAAGAATTCTGTTTCTTATAAGGACAAATAACAAAAATAACGTGTTTCTCGTCCGGAAAAAGATGGCTGCCGTACTAATTATAGCTTTCCAAGTCTATCTAATTCACATATATGGTGCTATGTGAGTATACTGATGCCATGTATGACAAAACAAATGATTTGTATCACCTTAGAATAGACTCTAGAAGCTATTGGAACATCATCGCAACCCTTCTTTTTTTTGGGGGGGGGGGGGGGGTTGTATATTTCAACTAAATAGTAAATAGTAAACAAAAGGAGGCAGCGGGCAAAAAGGAGGCTGGCAGGGACGAGAAACACTTCACTTTTGTTATTTGGTCTAACGCTAAACCTAATTCAAACCCTAACTCTAACTCTAACCCTAACCCTAACTCTAACCCTAACCCTAACCTAACCCTAACCTAACCCTAAGTCCCTAATTAACCCTAACCCTAACTCTGGGTCTATGTACATAAATCCTAAAGTTAAGCCGAGTAATTTACTCAATTACTGTTTGATATCAACTGTTCTCAGCCTGAATGTCCGGATAAACAACCCGTTTATCAAACAAACGGCCGAGGGTAAAGTAAGAATTATGTGCTCGCGTACTCTCTTCGGAACAGCAGCTTCCCCCTGCCAGAGTTCTGGGGAGCTTGCTGATTAGATCTACGTAATATTCACAACACAAACATCACAGAAAAGACGGAGATCTTATCCATCATTTACAAATTTCTTACCAAAATTGTTGATCAGAGCTTGAAGTCGAATACGATGAATAAATAAAATGATGGCCACCGACTTCCGATGTGTTTTCATGATTTTGTGAGAGATTAGACACACTGTTTCACTCCGACTGGGATCAGAATCGTGACACATGTACTCGCTTTAGAGCCCCATATATGTTTACACGTAGTTTATCACTTTCGACCAAAAGAGGGCGTATTTTTAACACATTAGAAATAACCCTTTTTCCAAACAGATTTTTAACTTATAAAAGTGGGAAAATATAGTTCTAAAATCCTATAAAAGCAAAATCTAACATCTGTTTGATATTTCAGAATAGCATTTGAACAAAAATAAAACAAATATATGGTCAAACTAGGTGTATGAATTGACCCGAAAGCTGGTTCACAATGACAATCTCCCATTCATTCATACACATTCTCTAGAGATGCCTTAAATTTCACCATGAAATATTTAAGTTTTCAATGCTAAATTTCCTTTTATTTCAACAAAAAACGAAAAATAGTTGTTAAATAATCAATTAATAACATTCATTTATAATCTTCATCGAAAAATTTGAAATTATGAAGGAAACTAAAACCTAAATTTTGTTCCACAATGACAAATTTTATAGATGTGCTATTCGTCCAAAACAAATATTTAATATGTAAAAAATTAATTAAAAATATTTTCTTGCATAATTTCAGGGAAAAAAATGATCATTTTTATTTATTTAGGGTATATTCTTTGTCCGGAGCACCATCAATTCTTACTGCACTACTTTTATTACAATTACAGATAAGTTTTAGTTTCAGAGAGAAAAACGTTTTTTTATATAGATGTACGTACTTAACTAGTATATTGTTCATCTTGTCTTTTTTGCAATTTTTCGAAAACTGAAAAACGAATTGAAAAATCAATTCAATGATCAAAAAGGAATAGAAATGCTCTTTATATCTCTTTTGGAGAATATGGAATTCGCCAAGAAATGAAAAAGCTATGTGGCTTTACATAAATTTTGGTTCACTTTTACATGTTAAAGAGAGAGAGAGAGAGAGAGAGAGAGAGAAAGAAGGGGGGTGGGAAGAGAGAGTGAGGAAGACAAATACATCATTTTAAAAAAATGGGAGACAGAGAGATAAAGAGAGAGAGAGAGGGGGGATAACAGAGAGAGTAGAGCAAGATACAGAGATGAGGAGAGGGAAGGAGGTAGGGAGAGAGGAGAGAGACAGAAAGAGAAAGAGAGAGTTAGAGAGAGAGAGAGAGAGAGATGGGGTGAGGAAAGCTAACAGTACAAAGTTCAAAAAGTTCCTTTAGTTCAAGGTAATCAAAAAATAGATTGTCACTGTGGATGACACCTTGTAACTCAAAATTTTCTATTTTTATTCTTCATAGTTTTGTAACTATAAAGAACCAATATAATGCTCTGATAAACCCATCTAATGCATGTCTACATCAATGGCTTCAAGTGAACTGTACAAGGATGGCCATCAATGTTCTCATTTTATGTTAGACATGACATAAAACAAATTCTCACTTTTTTGAAAATTTAAGGTAAGAACTTTATCATCTTGTCTACAGTATATATCCTCCAAGAAATATTTAAAAAAGATTGCATTCAAATTAATTTCATAGTCATACAATACAATCATCACAATAATTGGCAGGAAATATTCTGCAAATTTAAGAGTTTTGTCCATTTTGTTCATGTGCATTGATTCCTCCACCAGTAATGTGACAACGAAAGCTTTGCACAGACTGCCATCTATCTGGCAAAAACATATATTTGTGTCGAACAAGGAAGTAAATAAAAATGCAAACAAGTTTTGCTCAAGCCAGATCTATTTCCGCAAAGAAAAACATAAAAAGCACTTAAAAAGAGTTCAACATGAAGCCAAAATAAATACAGCATGTTCTTGCTGATTGAATCACAAGTTCAAACTGCCAAAATATAATCAAAATTTGTATTCCCATACCTAAAATGATTTGTATTGCAGATGTGACAGGGTCATTCACTCCAGTGGTATCATAGGCCATTACATCTGTGGAACCTGTTAAAAGATGGAGAAACAAAGAAGAACAGAAAATAGAATGAACACAAATTCTTTATTTTGTTTTGTTTCTCAAAACAATGTAGCTCACAAGAGCAAGGTCCATTGTTTATTTGCATTCGAAGTAGAGCATTGAAAGGATAACAAAGGAAGGATCAAAGGTTTAGTTTGTGTACTTTACCTCTTAAGTTGATCATAATCTAACACTATATAAACAGCAATTGAAGAAAAGGTCCACTCAACAAGACCAATCAAGGTGTCATTAATAAGCAAATATATTTATTGTTTTATAGCTATGAGTTCCTAAATTTAGGTGATCTAGCAAATTCTAAACAAATATAAACCTATTGCACATGGAATCTGAAATAAGATCAAGATAAAGATAAGATAAAGTACATTGACATTAAACAAAATTCCATGTTAATGATCGTTTCAATTGTGAAATACCAGTATACCTTGCATGTACATGTATAAAGCATTCAAAATCATAGACAAAAAATACCCCATTCCATTTTCTTCATATTGATAGGGTATCCATAAAATCATAAACAAGATATGCACACATAAAGTGTACACGAATCATTCTCATGTTCATCCATTTTTCTATTGAAACATATTTATCACAATAATGTGTTAACGCATAAACACTACAAAAGGTAAACACTGGAGTCAAAAGACATTTAATGGATTTGTTGAACGTGCTGATGCAGCAGACTCTCAGGGAGACCTCTGGTGGGCCAACTGAGTGATTCACTGAATGCCTCTCAAAATAACTAATTGATAACGTACCATACAATGCATACAAAAAAGAACAACTATAACCACCTCCAAATGAAGAAAGCAAAAAAGTTGCTGCACCTGCCATGTGGTCTCTGTTAATACCCTTTAAAGACCAATATTGCACATTTTGTGGTTTGGCCTACTCAGCATCTTTTGATTCAGAGCCGTAACATTATACCAGATGCATAAAAAGAATGGACAATTATTTTTTCTGCATACCTTGTGTCCATACTAGCTGCATAACCATATTACCACATTCCTTTTTATTCCAGGAATTTTAAAAAGGAATACCGGTATATGCTTTTAAATCCTTAAGAGAGGTTCAATATCACAGTTTTTCAAACAAAATTGGCAGTTCTCCACATAGCTCATTCCCATGGATACTGTTTACAGTGACGTAACATTCGCTCAGAACAATGTAGCAATAAAGTTAAAACTTTTAATACCAATTTGAAGATGAAAATGAGAACAGTCTTCTTGATCATAGCCCTTATATATTCCCTTCCTGAGAAGGCTTAATAACTATATGATGATGATAATAATGGGGACTCGAATTTCCCCTGATTCTTGTTCTCACCTGCTGGTATAATGCCTACTCTGAGGCCTAGAGGTACCGGTACAGATGCTGGGTTGTTAGGGTCTATACCTTCCTCTTGCTGGGTTCTTATTAGTAATCCATTCACAATATCAGCAAAGGTACCATCTCCACCAACAGATACAATACTAGATTGAGAAATGAAAAGATAGCGATCACCCTTTATAAGAGCATCAAACACAATATATATTGAAACTATATTTCCACCGACACATAACAAAAACTAGACTTGAGAAATGACAAGGGCATTGATCATAATGTCACATGAACAATAATCACTGAAAATGTGTCAGCAACAGCAGATACATGGACATAGCTCTCAAGAGAAATGAAAAGACAGAGAAAGCCTTTATCAGAGCACTGATCACATACATGTAGGTCACATAATTATATTGACAGAAAATGTATTTCCATCAAAAAGTACAATGCTGTCGTAAGAAATGAAAGATAGAGACTTACTAAAGCCTTTAGGACTACCACACAAACAATATTCATTGTACATTGATACAATATAATCATAATAATATAGGAATTTTGCATATTGTATACAGGACTCTAGAAAAAAATGCTATGGTTACAATTGTTCTGCAGTCAATATCTTTGAACAGAATTCCCATCTTCAATCCTGGTACAAACACTTTACCGGTACCTACATGTAACCCTAACTCTAGATGTGACATAAAACTCTATTTCAACACCAACTCTAAACCTGTATCTTTGACAAAATAAAACCCCGGAGCAATTGGGGGGGGGGGGGGGGGGAGTCACCATGTTCATGTACAGGTGTAGATGCAGGATATTAACTTACTTACAAACATCCAAAAGGAAATATCAATATGGAAATAAAACTTAACTTTATACTGAGCCTTCACCAGGTGTGCTTAAGATATTTACAAACATTCAAATTATAGAAATGAACCTTGTGCCAATAAATTCAACTCATGAGTACTTTGATGGATGGGACTATATTTACTGAATTACTGTTAATATTGACCTTTGGATAATACTCCTCTTTTATTTCTGTATCAATAACGATATGAAAATCCATGATGAAATGTGCAACTTAATATTTAATAGCAATGTCAAGCAGGAAAAACATCATCAGTCTCAAGTGTTTTATTCAAATCACTATAGAAATGTACTGTTCATGTATTTGCTTAATTCTTTCTCTTGTTCATGGAATCTAACATTGGCTGGGAAATTTCAAGGCAGATATAAAATGAGAGCTTTCAGTTTCAAACTTTCAATATCTCAATATGTTTCTGTGTATACAACAGCACCTTTTACATTTCTCTTTCAATTATAATACTTTGTCATTTCATATCAACATGAAATGCTGGCACTCGATCATATCAGATATATTCACTTTTTAATTGATTTTTTAATAGAATTTTTATATCCACAAAAGCATTTCTACAAGAAACTAGTTCATTCAAGGCCGAACTTGATAACAATCGTAGTTAAAGAACAACTTGGCATCATTGGCCCTGCAAATTGGGAAGGAAGCAGCAGTATCAATATTTGATCAACCTGTGTTGTTCTGGGAACACCTACTTTGGCCAGAACTTAAAGGTACATAAACCTATCTCCCATTCTTGTATATTCTTTTAAGAAAATAAAACTTTTTTATTATGAGATATCATTGCATTGAAAAGTCCATTTCCTTCATAAAAGTTTGATGAAGAAAAAAAAAAAAAATTCATCAAATGTATACAAATATAGGTTATGTACATGTAGTAAGCGTACAATATTGAATATGAAACACCTGATCATAAAACACTAATTCCCAATGAAAAGCATGCACCATTTAGGTTTAATAACTAGTTATATGTAGCTAATGTTTTCTTAAAATTTCCATTTCTCCCATGACAATTGTTTGCATAAAAAAAAAGATTTCATCAAATGTGTAGGCCTAACAATATGAAAAAACTTGGTCATAAAAATCGCAGCTTCCCATTAGAACATACACCATGTAAAACAAATTGAACACAAGTTCACCATGCCTTTAATTCAGAGATAAGACATTAATTTATTCAGGCCGGGTGACTGATGATAGTTCCTTGAACCCTCAAACTTTTAGGAATAACATGGTACGTCACTCTATTGTGAACTGAGCAGACCTGTGTTATCAGTAATTATTTAGACATTGACATCCCATTATTAAGTAAATTGTTTTGTCAATATACATGCACATGAATATGTTACTCATTATGAAGTGTCAATTTATTTTCAATTTGTATTATCAATCATTATCCAAATATGAATGTATTCATCTAGAGTAAAATGCACGCCAAAGCATACTTAAATTGATATGAAAATTGATATGAAAATTGCAAAGTGGACATTATACAATCTTTCTTACACCTAACTGTGACTAAATGACTTTGCTGCACTTTTATTGGTGTCCATTTTCATTTAGGCTTATATATTAAATTACACATTCAATAAGCACAGGTGTGCCCACATACATTTTTTAACGATGGGTTTAGAAAAAAATATGGAGTGTAAGATCTTTTTACGAGCGAGTTCAAACTCAGTTTAGATATGACAATACACACAAGCCATCGTTATGGTCTAATGGAGTGGGGCTGTTTATAACGTTCTGGAGGTTGTCATGAAAACGTTGAATGTGTACAACACAAACCTACAATGATTGTAAGATAAAAATAAGTAGCAAGTTATTTCCTTTTCCTGAGAGTAGAGAAAAAAAATACAAGGAAGTGGTTATAACCAAATGATTCAGTGTTTTCGGTGCCAAATATGTCACATTTCATGCATTTTAAGCATTTCATCACAGATCTACGTAAGCAAGCTGTGGGGATATGGTAGTGAATTGAATTCAGACTCATGCTACGTCTCAACAAATGTTCCTGCAGTGTATTTATATAGTGGTTATACTAACATTCCTATTTCTATAGAAATGCTTATAAATGTAATCCTTCATCTAAATAGACACTATCTCTCTCTCTCTCTCTTCCTCTTCCTCCCTACTGGAATTCTATCTAGTAGCAGAAACCACACCTTATACTGCATAAAGTACAAAACAAAGCTGAGAGAGTAAGAGGCACCAAGGCAGAAAGGGAGAAAAAAAAGAGAAAGATACACTGAAACCAGCTCTAGAAACTACCTGTTTAGAAACACCACATATTCAGATTCCTTGAATTGTGATTCTCAATGATGTAAAGACCACTTTTCTTTACTCCTCTAAGAAGCCTTTTATACAGGTTACACTGGTAAGTACAAGAAAAAGTAAAAAAGAAGACGCTTAGAAGCCAAGATTTTTAATCTTACCCATCAATTCCAGTGAGGTCCATCATCTGCATGAGTGACTTTGCATGATCAGGGCCTTCTGTGACTGTAAAATTGAAAATACAGATTGAATTATATCTGTAAATTAAAGGAATTCTGTGAACAAGATCTTTTTCATAAAAAGCAACTTAAATCATGTGCCTTTGGAATCATCTGTGTTATTTTAACACCACACTAACATCATAGGAAAGATCTATCATCTGACCCAAAGAGGCTGACGTGTATTACATAATTCATAAGAAATCCTTTTATATTCCAGTTGAAGTAGAATCTTATCTTTTTAAAATAATGCTTTACTCAGTCCAATACTTTGTAAAATGTAAATTATACCAAAATAAAATCATACTCCATCGGTTATCTATAAAAAACACATAATAATTATTCATAATGATCTAATACAAACTTGTATGCTGACAGAGAGAGAGAGAGAGAGAGAGAGTGAGAGAGAGAGGGGGGTTGGGAGAGAGAGAAAGAGGGGGGGGGGGAGAGAGAAAGAGGGAGAAGAGTGCACTGTAGATATAAAGACTTTTTTGACAGTAGGGTGAACAAGAATGAATGTATTTGGTGTCATTGGTGACTCACTTGTCATACTGGTCTCAATATCTGCTAGGTGGAATAGAGGCGCTACCTTAATGTCGTAGACTGACTGTCCTTTTCCTTTACCCCCGTATGGATTCACTATCACATGTAATCTCTTTGGTCTGCCATGACCTATAATCGGGAGTCAAATCAAACATATCACATCAAACGCTATGTTTCCTTCATTTCAATGAGTCACTAGTTATTTTTAAACAATCATTTTTTTCCCCTGACATTCACATACATGTACATGTAAGTAGACAAATACACATTAATCAAATTGAATCCCGAATCCCTATTCCCCAAATATAAGAGAAGAAAATGACGATTAATTCAAAGTGTGTATGCTTGCATTTCCAACTTAATGGCAAAATATGAAGTGTTGACAATATATAAATCATTTTCAAGTCTGTTGGCCTATTTAGATTTTGATTGCAAAAAGTCATTAACCTATCATAAGAGGGAAAATGCTGACTTTAATAATAATGATGATGAACTATCTATAATTGTAATCTATAATTTTCTTCCAGTATATCTTTATCTTTGCTTATGACAAAAATTGAATTTCATGAAACAAAAACTACATGTACATGTGGAAAGAGGAATTAATGAACCATCATAATCTTGGCAAGGGAAGATGTTAGCCTGTTTGGCCCTATGCCGACAAGAAAATTGCCCAGAACTAGTTACAGTTTTATCACAAAATACAAATTCTCATCCAAGGTGAAACACATTTTTGTACTTAATTTTTTGGACATATTAATTAATTTGGAAAATCTGTTAATCTGTAGTCAACCATGAACTGTCTGAATCTTAGTCAGGATTTAGAATGTTTCCATGACAATTTTTATTTGCTATTTCTTCATGTTTATTTGATTGCCTTCCAATGCAATCTAGAACTTAAATAAATATTTCAAATTTTTGTGCTGAACTCTCTCACAATGTGAGGTGAGAACAAACAAAAAGTTATTAAACAGGAATAAATTAAGATAAAACAATACAAAGTACAAAAGAAGCAATAAAACTACAAGTGAGATTTTGTATACAACATTTCAGAAATTTACAAAGCCCACTACAATAGTACACTTTACAAAATAGATTCTAATACAATATTATACACACTACACTTTTCTGACTATATGCTCTGTTCACAAGTGCATACAAATATGTGCATTATGAAAATGGTACACACATATTCATATTGTATGGTTATAATGAACGGTATTTATGGCAAACTCTTGTGCATCTCACTTGCATTGAAGCAGAAACATGTTCAGTCTTGCATGTTAAGGCTGGTATTTTGCATAATTACCTCCCCGTGTAGATTTGAAGTTTTCATATATCAAGTGTTAGTCATTCTCAAACTGATTTAATTCTACACCTTTCTCAATGTAGATCAACTTATGTTAATTGTGGTGGAACAAACTGTATCCTTCTTATAACTTCAATTAAACAATAGATGCGTTTTTTTTCTTTTCAGGAGCTTCTTTACACACACACACACACACACACACACACACACACAAACAAAACAGAAAATATGAAAAGGGGTATCTTCTCATAGTTGATATTTTATTGGGTTTTGGGGGGGTCGTTGTTTTTCTGTTCTTTTTATTCAGAGCTGTTTGGAAGCATTCAACACCTGATTAAAAATTCTCTGCTCTTGTCATTGTTCTCATTTGCAACAGAGTGTTTACATGTGCAAATGTCAGGAATGATTAATCTGATACAGCTGCATTGCAGCAACTACATGTATCTTATAAATTTACAACCCATGTTTCCCATTCATACTTACCCAAATACTAATAACTTAATCACATAAAAAACATTCATATTATTACACTCTTACTCTAAGTAGGGTAAATTTTCAATCCAATTACACACTAGTGCTATACAATGTTAATGTTAAAATTTGCAGCCAATAGCAACACCAAACCCATTTTTCATTTCAAATTTATTTAAATGCTTTGTGTAATTTGGAGCAGATATATTGTATTACTATTCAACTTAGAAAACCCTATCTAAAACAGCATGATCATCATCAATTGCAATTTCAATTGATCTTTTTCAATCGTGACTTATTTCTTTACTCTTCAAAGAGTTTATTTGTGATCGTTGGTCATAAAGAAATGCAAACACAAATCTCTTTTCAAGGATTTGTGTTTTCATTAAACTAACTCTCAAGTTAAACAATACACTCTAAGTCATATTAGCATTTAGGTCCTTGAAAAGATCTTCTTTGAATGTCACTCTTGATGAAAAATCTCTCCTTGAGGAATAGAATAGATTCCTAGGGGCTGACAATATAAAAATGAACCATTTCTCTATTTTCTCACCTTGTTGTAGAGCTGTCTTTATTCTATCAACCCACATCATACAGAGCTCTTGATCATGCGAAGAAAATGTGACAGCTTGGACTTTCCACTTCGTTTGTCGACTGTTCCTACCGACATACACTATGAGGGAGGAGAGGAATGAAATCAGTACAGTTTTAGATCAAAGCTTTCATTAGATTACAAAGAATAAACAAGTCATGTTTTTAAGTTCTTTTTCATACCCTCATTGCTGACAAGCCTTAATTTACTTTTTTTTTAAAATCACTTCACATTGTATATCATTGTTTAAGCAATATATGATACTTATACCGGTACTAAAGAATGAAGATTGCTACATTCCCTAATCAATGTTTCACATATTACATTGGATTAAACATATGTTATAGACATGAAATGATTCAACATCTCAAGCAAATATAAGTTTTTTTTTAATCAGATCATTTATCAAAACTCTCCCAGCTTCCATTCAATGTTACAACAGCATATTTTGTTGACATATGAATTATAAGGTAATCATGCATGTTTGTCATTAAAAACAAGCATAAAAATTAAATCAATATTATAACAAATTCCAGCTTTTATTTTTTTACCTGTAAAGCTGAATAAAGGGTGATGGGTTGATGGTGTAAAGACCTGAAAGAGTTGACCCATTTGAGACAGGGTCATCATGTGGTTTCCATCAGGTGAAGAAGGCTTCTCTGGTCCCTTCAGACGAACCCCAACGATGCGATTCAGCTGGATGCATTGGTGGTTGTCTGCAATATTGATCATAGAAGAGAACATTAATGTTCACAGGTAGCTCATTAATAACCAAAGCAATTGTGTATCACAGGTGAACCTTTGAAGGGGGCACTGGGTGATGAGCATCTGGCAGGGGGGGGGGGGGGGGAGGGGGTGAGGGGGGGGGGGGGGGGCGAGGGAGGGCACCGGTCTTACTCATTTAAATGTGAATTAGTTACCCCATTGTCGACTGGAGGGGAAGGGGGTCCTACTAAGTACCAACTGCTTTTCTTGTCATTTGTCCTCTCCCTTTTTCCAGGAGGTGGGGATGTGGCTCCTTGGCCTTGCCAATGCTTCAATCCCTATGGCTATAGCAGTTTAGGCATACACGTGTGACATAGCTAGCCACTGATTACATATTATAAATCTGACTACACAATACACATAACATACAAAATGAATTAGACTACATTTACATATGTACATCTAATTTGAACTATAATTTAACATTTCTTTGCAATGCCTCCTCATACCGTTGCATGGCACCACAAATACTGAAATTTAATTAAAAAACATCTCACACAAAAAAAAACTCAACACCAAAAGCATGAAAAGAGGACACAAAATTCTAGGGCCTGAAAGAGTAGAAATGATTTCTCAATCTTCAAATGAAAACACGAACATAAATGTAAAACAGGGGTAGATTTCTAGGCTAAATTATAATATATTTTATTTTATAATTAGCTAGAGTCTATGGCACTTTACGGATGCAATCCAACGACTCACGGAGTTGGTGATGCATTCCAAGTGTGGAGGATGCCTCCCACCACGTTATCGACTGGGAGGAGAGTCGCACATCACAAGATTTCCTTTCGATGTCAAACGTCGCCTGCAGATCGGCAGAACTCGATTCCTCATTCCTGCTTGAAGTTGAATTCACATGCTCCATTTCTCCGCAAACCCGCTAAATTATTGAAAAGACGGGCTAGAACTCTTTCTTGAGGACTGCCTTAGAACAATGAAAAATAAACTGTCAGAAAAGAACTTGCACTCTTTCTTCAGATCATCTCAACGCTATTATTATTAAACATGTATCCAGAGCGAGAGAAACCATTGTAAATACAAAATGAAACAACACGGTACGGTGGCTTCGTACGTTGGTATACGGTGCACGCATATTGCATCGGAGAGAGCCAGACGAAAGGCCAACAAACTTTCTCTATTCTAGTCTGAAATTCATACGTAAAATTAAATGTATATTTACATTTACATTGCGAATGATTTGTGTTATACTCGATAATAAGACTGTAAAATCATAATTTAAATAAATAAATAAAGAGTATATTAAATGTATATATATTCATTTATGTAGTAAAATTACTATCTCGTTGTTTTCAAAATCATTTACGGACTCCCCTATCAGACTAATAAATCAGCGTATGCCGTGAAGGTGAACAAACTTTTACAGAGTTCGCTCTGTCTGTTGTTCGTTCACAACGATGAACATACACGGGGGGGGGGGGGGGGGGGGGGGGGGGGGGTAATCACGTAAATATGTGAACGCAGGTACTGGCAGGGTGGGGGCTATGGGGTGGGGTGAGAGAGGTACCCTCCACTTCTTGCGGAAGGGGATATCCAATTACTACTACTATACTTACTAGCACTACCACTGACGCTACTACTGCTGCTACTAATACTACCATGCATGTCTACTACTACTACTACTACCAAGGGTGGTTATCCGGGGGAGGGGGAGGGGCGGGGGGATACGTCCCCCCTCGATTTTTTATAGGGGGTCGTCCCCCCTCTCCCGAAAAAATTGAAACAAAAAAATGTATAGCAAATACTGACTAAAGACTTCAACACACTTCTAGGCTCTGGAAGGCCCAAGAGTGCAGCTTTTAATAGACTAATCAAAATGCAAAAATATCAGTTTCGCTCGGTCGCTTCTCTCCCTCGCATAATATCCTTAGTTAATATTGTAGAAAATGTGTATTCCATTAGTATCAGGTAAGCACAGTTTACACTGTATGCTTACAAGGTTAAGAGTTATACTCAGTATAACTCTTAACCTTGTAAGCATACTAGAAACAGATCAGTGCTATATACAAAAATGAATATTTCGCTTGCTCTTTTAAGCAGACCCTTCCTGCCTAGTACTGTTATATAAGTATTGTCGCCTAAGGGGAAATGGGTGTACATCTTACATTAAGTCAAGTTCCTTCATTACATGACCTAATCTAAAGGTAATACAATGTTTTGGTATAATATGGGGTCATGAATTTGGTTCAATTGAACTTATTGGAAGCACTGATTCGATCCTACAATATTCAGTGATCGTTGTCGCGGTTGAAATCGAGTCTAAAGTGATGAAATTGTAAATAATAAAGTCTTCATGTTGTATAGCTCCCTCCCAAGGTCGAGATATTAATTTAGCTTTAAAACAACGTTTCTTGACTAAATTGATCGATTTGCTATTCCCTTTGGAAATTATATATCCGGCCATTTTCAAAATTTCCCATTTTAATGTTTCACTCACATTCTGAAATCCCATCCATGCCCACTGCAAGCTCCCTACTTACTAATATTGACCTACTAAATATTTACAAGTTTACAACCCTTCGGAAGGCACACTAATTACCGGCAATGTAGTGTGAAAAAAAGTATATTGCTTGTTTTTACACTGTAGTTTTGCAAAGGAATGTACATTTTAGAACATTTTAATACAACAAAACTTCAAAAACCTGTGAGGGGGACAGTCACTTCCATCATTTTCGCCTCTCTCGTTCACTATGCCCCCTCGTCCCTCCCATTTCGCCCCCCCCCCCCCGGTCATGAAAAGAATCGCCGCCCCTGACTACATACTACAACTACTACTATTACTACTACTACTTCTACTACTATTCATACTATTTCTATCAGTACAACTACCACCACTACTACTTCTACTACTACTGATTATACTGCTACAACTATACTACATTATTATAATAATTATTACTATTATTGTTGTTGTTGTTATTATTTGTATTTTTTGGTATCGTTATTATTATTATCATCATCGTTATAAATATTACTATAATTATTTTATAACAATAAAGAAAATGACAAGGTGGTAGATTTTATTAATATATAGTTGTTTTTAATCGAAGAATTTATAAGTATATCCTTTTGTTCACATAAAAGTATAAAAGAAATTATATCTATTTATGTCAGCTATTTATACCTTTATTCACTTCTTTTTCCTGATTTCTACAAAACATTTAAATTCTAATTTACTCGCTATATAGCTCCAAATACCCCCCCCCCCCCTATAAACTAATACGAACCGACATTACCCTATACCCTTTTTATAATGCCATCTTACCAGTCTTCGAGGTACTCAGACTTTCGATGAAAATACCTAGGGTCACTCTGGCATAGGTAAGGGGTGCCAGTAAACATAATGATGATGGGGCGGGAACCAGAATTTCTTTGCAAAACTAAGTGGTCAACAGTTAGTAGCAAGTGATTATTGGCCATATATACATGGTGATGAGTAAGTGAAGAAATGTATCAATAATTATAACCCTAACAACAATAATGACAATAATAATAATACATTTCATTTTCCTATTTAAGAGCTTTTAAATCAGTAGGTTTCTCGCTTAAAAGGATAAATTAAACTCAAGTCCCCTAAATCAAACGCAAATTTACCTCACTGTTTTTTAGTTGTAACCCGGCCAGTCGCGCTTTTAGATCAAGGGTTCTAAAATTAAATGGTTTTATCATCTCTTTCTTTCTTGCTCCTTTCCCTATTTCTCTCTTTCTTTATCTCTCTCTCTCTCTCTCTCTCTCCTTCTCTCTCCCCTCTCTCTGTATGTGCCTGTCTTGCTTTCCCATATTATCACCTCCACCTTTAACTACTACTCTATTGCTCTCTTTCTTTCTCAATTTCTGTCATATAATACATGTTATTTAATTTTGTTAAATAGGGTTTATTCTGGAGTTTGAAATGAGTATGATATTGTTATGTGTTAGGAATTATCAATGTTTTCATGAAAACTGACGTTAAAATGTTTTATTTTCCGTTATAATGTTATATTTAGAGGTTTGCTTCAACGCCAACCGTGGAGAATATTACCAATTAAACTGAGATCACAATCTACTCTAAATCTTCATGTGATATAACACATCTAATAATGACGATAATCTTTTCCATGATTCGACCGTCCATAACAAAACGGGTCGATACTCCCTCTGTATGTAAATTGGCAGAGGGTCGGTTTCGCAAACAAAAGGGTGTAATTCGTACATGTATGTATAGCCACAACCCATATACATGAGATCCTCCTCTCTGAAAATCGATAATTATACCAGACTACAAAACAAAAAGACCCGTATAAAGACGTCTTAAGGAATACCAGAGTAATGGCGTGGGGCGGGACAGGACAAACAAGATGTCATTTTGCTTGTCATTATTGGCCCACAGGATAGTTATAGTTTTTGTTGATTTTCCTCGGCATGCAGGGATTCAGACTGTAAGGAGCCGTTCAGACAGGAGTCACACAATGGAGTTGACGCTTATATAAACTTTGCAATTGACAATGGTTTAAGTATTTCGAGAAGTCTTGTTCATTTTTGTTTCAGTATCTTCGCCCAAAATGACAAGATGGCGTAACGCACGAAGGTGTATTTATATAGCACCTTGTGATGATATTCTGGTGTAAGCTATAACTTCAACTATGGATTATCAACAAGTTTCTCGCTCACTTATAGTCTGTTCAAATGAGAAATTAATTATGTATCATTCGACTTTTGGTTCATCGAAAGAAGGAAGACATTCCGAAACTATATGATGTAGCCTCAAGATGGATGTTTGACGAGTACAGGAAGTATACAGGTATATTATACAGGTACTCATAAAATCATACTTGATTATATAGTTTGCATGTATGTGTTCGTCCATACTATAGGTTAACTCCATGTTGTTTCATGTCGACATCATTATGTGCATGGTATTGAGTGAGTGCATACTACAATACAAATTTAAACATTATCATGAAGATTATGGCTCAAATAATAAGCATTATGATTATGCAGAGTTAATGGTTATTAGGCCTATACTATAAGTGGCGAAGAATTAACTGAGCTGTATAGCAGTATGATGTAGAATATGCAAGTGTAGGCCAATATATTCCCATATACAGCTAAAGGCTTTATAAGTAATAAAATATATATGACATACATTTATGTTATATCGTTACCAATCTCATTGATAATCCTACATTTGTTATTCTTTGTCTTCATAACAATTAGGATAGCACTACAGTCCTGAAGAAAGAATGACGACTACAATGATGATACAGAAACGCAAGGTAAAGACAGTATAGATGTAACGATGGTTAAAGCACAGAGAAAATTATAATCTTTTATGATGTGTATTAATTATCATTATTGCTATACAAATTGAACGTTATTATTATTATGCAACGTTATCATTATTACCATTACATTGACATAATTATTATGCAACATTATGAAGGCCCTCTATGTTGATATATACTACGAATTATAGCCAAACATAAATTCAGCACCGGTATGGACGATCAAATCAAATCATATATTACTTTCTACCCTTTGATCATGAGTGATTCCATCTCTCTGTTTCTTACAGCGTGATAAGGCCCAGGAGCAGCTCCGAAGTCGAATGCGACAGCGGGGAGAAGGTGAGACAGTTTGTACATTATCCATCCCACCCCCCCCCCCCCTTGTTGGCAACGTGACACAAGTGACGGGAAACATTTCATTGGGCAGTTGAATTAATCTCTAAATAATCCCTGCACATATTTTGTTATGTTTACATTAATTTAAACTGTATAGCATCATTTTCCTGATGTATTGTTATGAGTAGAAGCGTATCGAGATATTTCGTATATAGTTCTTCTGTCATTTGAGTTTTGTGACTGATAAGAATGTGAAATTGTTTTGTTGGTATATGTAGCGCTATCGAATTGCCATGAAACTTCGAAAGGTTACTCCCCCAAAATAAAAAAAAATAAAAAAAATCGAGTGATAACAGATGTGACTCATCTTGAGAGTAAAAATGTATAGTGAAAATAGAGTGCAAATTACTCGATATAATAAAAGCACTCGATAAATCGGTATTCACTCTTAAACAAGTGATCACTTAAGGAACTCTCGGGGGAGTGAGAAAACGAGTGAAATTCACTCTTTTCTTTTTTTAAAGTAATACAATAGAATAAGACATCTTTATGTGTGACTCATCAAATATATTATCTCTTTTAAAAAATTGTTATGAAAGGACATGGAACCTCATCTACAATGCTTCAAGCCCGGCGACGGTACACATTTCGTGATGGAAAACGTGATACCAGTCTGTCGGGAGGCATGATGAATAAGGCATCATCTATAACCGTGACGCCGGGGGATCTTCTGGGTACTAACTACATGCATTGGTAGGTTACCATAGAGACAACATCATGGAATCAAACTGCTCTTATGCTAATGCGCAACAGTGTGCATATCAGTATTCAATGGTAGAAAATTATAATTATGTCTATATTACCTTCGTCAGTAAATCGTATTTCGTGGTAAACTTATTCATCTTTATCATACCGATTCGGTTAATAGATTAGAGAAAGTGATGTTCAATTAGGCTGGCCTACGTTTAACATAATTATCCATCTTCCAATCAAAATATTAATACTGGGACGCGTGCTCCTAATAGAATGGCGAAAAGGGGGAAGAACGAAAAAAAATAGAAAGGAAAGGGAAAAAAAAACCCTTACCAGTGACCTTTTTGATTTTATCCATCGACATTTAGAAATTAAGACACCCCCCCCCCCCAAACGTGACGATGCCTCCTCAATTTTGGGACCCACACAAACGTCGCTGACTACCTTTATAAACCTGTACCCATCTTCTTTTTATATGGATTTCCACATTCCTATAATAGAGTGATCGCTGAGACTTTCGAGAGATCAAGTCGAGGGCAATTCGAATAACTTGTTGTTTTGCCTATAGAAATTGGATTAAATGTTTGTCTCATTACAACATTCGCGCAATTTCCAAAGGTGACGCACGAGGCTTTTCAAATGGCCTATAATGTTTGACTTGTTGAAAGTCTATAGAAAGGTGTTTTATGTTTCATTATGTTCCAAGTTCCAACCTTGCTATCTTCCCCCATTACAGGCAGCCAGACATGTTGCCCTCCTCCGGCGGAGTTGTCTCAGATCGTACGCAATCCGACATCAAGGGCGCCGATCCCATCCCTATGAGTGAGCTCATCAAAAGAGTCTTGCAGAGGAAAGTGGATAACCTAGAACTGGGCTCGAGCATCTTACCCATCGGGTATGTGAGCTGACTTGTTATGAAGATAGATGTGGTCACCGGGGTTGTCATTGGGGAGGGGGCATATTGTTGCCCTCTGCCCCCGTCCTGTAGATGGATCGACGCCTCTAGTTATCTTGAATAAATGACCTTTTTTGTTAAAAATGAAAAATTAAATTTTGAATAGACATTAGAAAGGATTTTGATACCACAGTATTACAATTCATTAGCAAAAATAACGTTTAATACTATTTTTTCAATTCAATTAAGCAAACATTCTTTTTATTTCCTCTACAATATTGTATTTGAATTATCATGAAATATAATACATGTACAATACCTGAATGAAAACGGGGAAAAGATATAGCGTAAACCAGGCGCGTACGCAGGATTTTTTCAAGGGGGGGGGTTTTAACATTTATAAATCGGTCCGAAAATTTCGCAACGACTCAGCCAGCCGCTGAATAAGCGGGGGGGGGGGGGTAAGAGGACAAATTTTTTTTTTTTTTGGTCCCAAAAAAATCGCAACGACTCAGCCGACCGCTGAATAAGCGGGGGGGGGGGGGGGGGGGGGGGGGGGGGGGGGGGGGGGGGGGGGGGGGGGTAAGAGGACACTTTTTTTTTTTTTTTGGTCTCGAAATTTGGAAATTCGACATTTTGCTCCGTTGGGGGGGGGGGTAAGGTCACCTTTTTTAGGTCGGCCATGGGAATAATTTTTTTTTTTTTTTTTTTTTAATAATTAAAAAAAAAAAAAAAAAAAAAAAAAAAAAAATCCAAAAGGGGGGGGGGGGGGGGGGGGTTTTAGGTTTTTTTTAGGGGGGTTTACACACAAAAAATTTCCAAAGGGGGGGGTTTAACCCCCCAAACCCCCCCCCCCCCCCCTGCGTACGCGCCTGGCGTAAACGTCATGTACGTGTGATAAAAAAAATAATTAAGCAGGTTAGACTTATTCATTATTTACGACTTCCATTAACAAAATTAATTGTATGATATTGATGCAGATTGTAATCATGATATAGTGTTTGTATTCAAAATGTGATATGACATGGTGATGGTTGACAGTATACAGGGCGTATCATAATAAAGGATATTGAAGTTTAATGACGATTTATATGAAAACTACTGATTTCATAATCAAGCATTTTATGTCTGTTGTAAAGGACAGAATGTCCTCTTGTTAATGACACCCCGATCATACTACTACTGTCACAGTTGACTGAATAACAAAGCATTGCTGTCCACCATGTGAAAGGTGCACTGTGCCAAGTTTGATAACATTTCCTTCTTAGACACATAATCCACTCATTGTTCAGCATTTCAATATGTCTGGGCTGACACAAGCACTAATCTTTAGAATTTATCTGTGAATGCTAACTTGTCACAGTGCAACTTTCACACGGTGGTCCTTTACAACAGACATAAAATGCTTGATTATGAAATCAGTAGTTTTCATATAAATCGTCATTAAACTTCAATATCCTTTATTATGATATATCTTATTTCCACGGAGTCAAATTTCACTCTGAATGGCGTCAGCTGGGAGTCAACTCTATTCCTAGTTAAAGTGACACGGAAAAGGAGTCATCTTGACTCTGAATTGAGTCAATTCTCAGCTAATGCCACACATTCCGAGTCAAATTGATTCGGAATCCGTGTCACTTTAACTAGGAATAGAGTTGACTCCCAGCTGACGCCATTTAGAGTAAAATTTGACTCCGTGGAAATAAGAGTGTACGCCCTGTATATACCTAATATAAGCGCATAAAATTTGAAAACATAAGTGAGTGAATGAACTGATAATAAGCTATACAGTGCGTCCCGATAATTATCGATGTTTTATTATAACTTAGTCACAATTATAATTGATAAATGACACATATTTGGAAAGCTTAGATCCTCCTCTTTCATTTGATGCAACTCATAATAATGCATATTTCACGCATGAGTGATTAAAATCAATTTGAAGAGAGGAAGCCGAAAAGTCGTTTGGCGGGCGGTATCTGAATTTCAAAGAGAAAATCACATTTCTAGAAAGTTGAGTTTCTGCCCTTTCATATTATGACACCTCATTCAGGAAAAATGAGCTAGGAATAACAAAGTTCTGTTTGTTTAAAGTAGTGCTTGCATTTCCATAATTTGATTAAAAGAATTCGTTTTCACTGAGCTGTGAAAGTTTTTTTTTCTTCTTCAAATTCCATATTGTCTGTATTGAATTATTCGTTTTTTCTGTCTAATCTGATTTCTGTTGTTGTTCTTGAACTTTGTTTGATATAGGAACCTGAAGTCTCGCCATGTTCCGTATGCACTACGCCACAGTTCACATATCAAGTAAGTTGTTTTAGGAGTTCTTTTTTCGTCATGTCAGTATCACTCAAGTTCTGTGTCATTTAGACAAATATGACAAAAGCATGATCCCGATAAATCTCATATTTTCCAAGGACGCTAACATAACATTTACATCCAGATTATGTTCTGTATTATCCATCGAGCATTGTGCCATTTTTTCGGCACCCATCATATTGGTTACCGGGTGCTTTCGGTCATCATAATAATGCAGCTAAAAGCACGAATTGTGTCACTGTGTTCGTAGAGGCATCATGCTCAAGTCCCTCTTTGTGAATATTATCAAACAGTCCTTTTATACGAGAAGATGATAAATCAACACGACTGATACTTTATGAATGGAAATAAAGACGGAAAGAAGAGGAAGAAAGTATGGAACAACTGCTTAATTAGCACATCCACAAAATATGCAGGTGATACACTCTACCTCGCCGGTTACGTTGAGTTGTGTTTTTGAAATTTCACTATCATAACATTACATAACAGCTATTCATGTATTTGACAGTACATGTAATATTATTTTTATGAACTCTCTTTTATTCATAGGAAAATTTTGGGTACGATGTCCAAACACAAAGCGAAAGAAAGCACCAATAAACCAATTGTCGTGGTCGCCGACATTAAAGAAACTGACGCCAACGGTCAACAACGCTTAAGAAGTCATGCAAAGCTAAAGAACCAATTAAAACCACGGCCGACAATTGAAAGTACCCCTTCTATACAGGATGATTCTCAAGGATCTAGTGCTTCGAGGACTTCCTCAAAGATTGATGAGCCTCAGACTCGTCGATTACCAAGTGATCAAAATCTCCCTGATCCACTCGGTCAGCCCCATAGAGGTAACGACATTTTGTCGAATTATCGGCTGCAGACCACAAGAGCGAAAAAGATGATTGGTAAACAAATGGCGTTGCAGCATCGCGACACAAGGAAACAAACTTTGAACGAAAGGGCAATGCAAAAACCAAAACCTCTACCCGCTATTAAATCCGAGACTAATTCAAGCAAACGGGACAAGAACTTGACGAGTCGTTTAATCGAGGATGCGGTCATCAAGAGCAAGACTCGATGTTCGTCTGGGGACGATATCATTAATCTGAAAACGGCTCAGTCAGAAGCGATGCAGAAACTTGAAGATATGGGCGAACCGACGTTACTTGGGACGCCTAGGAGATCCACACATAAGATGCTACGATTTAAGAATAATTTGGGCAAGGTGGATAGACTGTTGGCCATAGAGGAAGATAAATGAATCACACAAGCCAGGAAGCCCTTTATGGTTTGAAGGAGAACCCGTCGATTTCAGATTCAATATCAAGATCGAAATTGCCAAAGTGCACAATGGCTCTTCTGTTTCGAAGAAGGCCATAGACGATGGTGGATAGGCTACTCATAGTGTGGGGCCTGGTTCTTTCCAAAGTTTCTATGCGGAGCACTAAGATGTAAATTTAATATTCGAGAATGGAGGAGGGGGAATGACCTGTCCAGATGAATCTTGGAGAGGGCCCCTTTCTTCTGACGTCACGCTACGTCGTGTACCGTTCTTTCACCCATTCTAATTCATCCTTGCTCTTTTCTTGCCATGGAGAGGGGGAGGGGGGGGGGGGGAGGGATGCTCTCTTAGCCACTGTGCATTGCATTAAACACCTGAGAACATTATGTACATAATATTTATACTGATTTACAAACTACGCAAACTGCTTAGACAGTTCCTTGTATTAACGAAATTATTTATTGTTCACCATATTCACGATACAAGTACATGATCTACAATATGTTTATTTAAATGTATATACAAATTTAAATTTCAACGATCGGTGTCCAATTCACTGGTATAATGGACATTTTAAAACGCATTTCATGTATTACACGTTTTTCTATATTTATGTCTAAATTTAGATGGATGAGATTAGTTTAGTCTACGCAAGGATGGGCACAATGAAAATTAATATGAGCAGTGATGATGCGTGAAAATAACCTCTCTCTCAATATTGTGTGATTTTATGAGGTAGAATTAATGTATTATACCGTAAAATCTTGATATGCGAAAAATTATTTACACAGATTAATTTTTAAAGGATTACAGAAACAGAATGATTATCTATAAATACCTTTGGCATTCATGATTCCTCTGAAATAGTTTGTATTTCATTAATTTATATTATATGAGTTATAATATATAGGAATACAAGATATGAGTATATATATGTAGAAAGTTTGTTCCTTCTCTTGAAAAGTAAGCACACCACAGTCATGATTCGTATACCATTCTTATCAAACAATTCCTGTCAAACATTTAAAAAGCTAAATCAAATTCGTCCATTCGTGTTCAATTTTCGCTGCTTCAACACTTTTATCTCTGAAAGACGAATCATTATCACTATCTACATGAAGAGAAAAGCAGACTCAGATATTTAACCATTCGTAAAGTCACACTTGATGACTTAACGATTATCTTCATACATGAACAGCCTCGAATGTAGCCTCAATAAGTTTCCATGCATAATTATGATTATATATTTAGAATGATTCAGAGAAAAGATACCAACCGTTTCAATACAAATACAGCGTGGAGAAAATCTATGCCATCCGTATAGTTTGAGCACAACTTTATCGACGTAAAATGGTGCTTATTACACATTTAGTAAGATCAAGAAACATAGCAATGAAATGCTTCAGTTTCGAGGAGACACAGTACAGGGTATATACATACAGGATTATACAAATATAATAATAATTCCAATATATAGTACCAGATCACATATAATTGTGTGTCAAGCGAAATCTAAATATAACAATCAAAGACAATCTGACGCTCATATAGAAAGATGACGTCATAGTCCTAGTCTTTCGTGGTTCTCCCATAGCCAGTCATGGTACTTGTTGAGCATGTGATCCTGTGGTTTGACCTACCAAACAACAAACAAACAAAAGAATCAAAATTTTTAAAAACGATGTTATGAAGATGATGCACATGTCTTCAACATTTTGTTTTTAAAAAATGACAATAGTTTGACTTAAAACACTGAACACGAATAATAACAATATTATTAATAATAGTGGGTTCTTGTACAGCGCTCATGTCTGTCAGACTTGACACTCCTGCATGGCGTTCCATGAAATAAAGATGGGATATTTAAGCATAAAATATCGGAAATAGAACGAGAGAAAAAATGAGGATAAAAAAAGAGATCGGTCTAAGACAAAAATATAATAAAAAAGAGATGGCGAGGAGTTGGAAAGAGAAAAAGAGGGAGAGAGAGAGAGAGAGAGAGAGAACGAGATGAATAGAATTTTATTGACATGAGAGAGAAAGTGAACAAGGGGAGGAAATTTTCAAGAAAGGACAAAAAAGTTATACCTCTTTCCATTCATTGACGCAGAAGATTCTATAGGAGTCGTTGCCATATTTCCCAATGCCGGACAACTCGATAGGATAGGTCCAATCTTTCGTTAGAAACTCATCTGTGAAAAGAATGATATATAGTTCAAACCATTTGTTAAACGAGAAAATTATCAAAGCATGTTATCGGAAAACGTAGATTTGATTTTCCTATCGAAAAAAAACCCCAACATTTTATACATGGATATAATAAAATTGACATTTCAAAAAACTATCTACTTCTCTAATTTATGTTTACATTGAGGTAAATAGTGTGTCCATTTATTCGTTTTCTAAGAACGAAACTTCTAGATGTAGTATTCAGTGGCGGATTCAGGAATACATGGACGGCAGGAAGTACTTTTTAAATCCCTGACATGACAAAAATCATCACAAAGAATCGTACTTACGTATAAAAATATCTGTAAATCAAACATAGAAAAAGTAGGGGAGAGTTTTTGATCAGGAGGGAGGCACAAGCATTTAATTTGGCAGGTTTTGGCCGGGGGCACATGTCCCACGTGCCCCTCCCCCCACCACCCGCCACTGAATAATGCAACGTATACTTATGAGCAGGATGGCGAACACATAGACAGCCACATCCTGGTTTCGCTATTATTTTCAAGAATATAACTAGCCATTGTGGCAACAATTTTTAATGAACTAATTAAGAAGTTCAAGCGGATTTTTGTCAAATAGTTACATATTGTTATTAAGAAAAATGGGATAAAAGTTAAAAGTGCGTTATGGTAACAATGGTATCAATTTTTAGATAATATTCTCACCAAACATAAACATCTTCACGCAGTAAATAAAATAGTAGAACTCTCTCTCTCCCTCTCTCTCTTTCTCCCTCCTCTCGCCTTCTCGCCTCCCCCCTCTCTCTCTCTTTCGATCTCTCTCTATTTCTCTCCCCCTAAGTTCTTGCTCATACTTACCAGAAAATTGAATGAGCATCTTTGCGCGCTTGGTATGAAGGCCTAGTGGTTGGATTAGATCAGCGATCGACTGCCAGTCAGCTGATCGAGTCTTCTCTGGTGTGTCCCAAGTTTGAAAGAACTGCCAGAGAACAGGGATGGCTTTCGATCCTGCAGATAAAACATAGAATAACGTTTTTTTTTTACAATTAGATTCACAACGAATGCATGCTATAAAATAACGTGGTAAACAAAAAAATCAAAAGCAATGTTAAATGAAATATCATTAATTTGAAGCCCAACCCCGTACATCATTTCAATCATTGTACGATTTGCTGATTTAATATACAAAAGACTCACAGTTGCGTTATTCAGCGTAAAGGAGCCGGCGTATGCCCCCTACCTGTTTAAACGCCGAGGAAAGAAAAAAAAACGAAACTTTACAGAGAGTTTACGACAGCGGGTTGCCCCGAGACACACATTTCCCTGTCTGAGGATTCCGAGGCGTGTTTATCAATTCTAAATACGCCACTGAAAATTAAGTCAATTCATTAGTTCTATTTTAAGTAAAATAAATCGCCCCCACCCACTCTCCCCGACCCTTTCCCCTCTTAGCTTTCCGACAATCCTGGATCCGCCCCCAGCTGAAGAAGTTATTACCTTTGGTTCTGTTGAGGAAGATGGTAGCTACGAGATGTTTCCACGGATCGTGGAACAAGCTTTCCTGGACCAGGTTGTATGGTGATCGAGGCGGGGTCCATTGCGAGGAGGTAGACGATTTGCTAGGGTTTGGTGACGGTAGCACGACCTTCTTTCTACCGAAGTACGGGCTCTTCCTTGTGGTGGAGGTCGTCGTGGTGGAGTTCGCCGTCGATGTACCTGATCGTGCAGAGCGGGAACGGGTGACACGGTGAGAAGCGTTTTCAGTCTTCTGAGCTGTAAATGTGCAGAATAGAAAATAATATAGAAATAAAGAAATCAGTTATGCAATGGAATTTTGTTATAATATCCCATGCTACGCTGTGATATAATTATATACCGCATAATGAAGATTATATAGGCTTCTAATTGATCAAAACTGCAATATTGACTGCAAAGTTGATTGCGATATTGGTCAAAACAAATATTGACTTGAGAATCAGGAACACACTGTAAAGTTCAGTTCCGAGATCACCTTGGGCAATAGTTTTAACCGTGCCCCTCAAAGCAGTCAATATTCGTAAACTATTATACTCCCCGTGTTATTTGCCGAATCTGACAATAGTTACAATTGATTATGGTCTGAAATGAACAAAACCTTATTCTCATAAGATTATCCAAGACGATTGAAGGGACTTTCAAAATATCGAAATATACAATCGTGATAAAAAAATGATATTGGCAATACAATATGGTATAGGATTTCACTTCTTGTAAATCTTTTGCGATCTATAAAAGGGATATAACGTTCAACCAATGGCATCCCCCAAACAAAAAATGGCATCCATTATTCGATTTTCTTTCATGTCACTTCAGGAAGTTAATTTTGTTTTCATCATCAAGAAAAACTATTGCTATTATACACAGCTGTTGTAAATAGCTGTTATTTTATGATATGAACAAAATAATAAAGTCCCTCGAAAGAGGATAAATAGAAGAAAAAAATTACCAGGTGATGTTCATTTTTCTCATTGATTGTGGAGAATGCATGTTTACTTTAAAGGCCCACTGCACTACTTGTAGCTACTTGCGCCCTCTATATAACAAACAATGCCTAATCGGTGACCATTGGTCCCCATGATCCTCTTTTTCTTATGTTAACTGAGAGCTGAGTTGATGAGATAACCACCTGTCCAATGACCTTGCAGGGCAGTCTAATCCCTCCTGTAAACTACGGCAGATAAGCTTTATGGTTTACCAGATGATTCATTATGACTATCCACGATTGAAAATGAAACTAATTGAAAGTGGTAACTTTTGTATGCAGTAAAATCTGAATGATTGGTTCTCCTTAAGAGCAGGAGTGGTATTATAGGGGATTTTTTTTAATTTTTCTATTTATTTTTTATTTATTTTTATTTTTATTTTTATTTATTATTTCATCTTATTTTGTATTTATTCATTATCATTATTTTATTTATTTATTTATTTATATATATATATATATATTTTTTTTTTGGGGGGGGGGGGAGAAGGGGTGTGCATGGGGGTTCTTGCATTCATTTTCGACATGTACCTCGCGAACATTTTAGAGGATAGCCAGCTATTTAAAAGAGGTATCCTTGATGCA